TGGCGGCGAGAGGGGGGGGGGCACAAAGACACAGGGCACCAATAATGAACATTTAGCGGCGATATTAACGACTCACAGTGCGCCAGGAACGAATACTTGGTGGTGATATGAACACTACCACATGCTGCACAAGCTACTCATTTGAAGCTAGGTTAATGAAGGGAAACTCATAATTGGCTCAAATACCAATGACGCGTGGTTGGTCTTGTGGCAGACTGCTCACGCAGTTGGCACAGTGGGGAGAACCGGCGGCAGTCACCCCACGGCACCTGCTGGGTCTGCCCCGTCACCTCCTACCAGCGGGCCCTCGACACTTGACGTGGCCTCAAAGTGCACCTAGCCTGGCACAAGTGCCATGGTGACGTCACCGCCACTTAGTGGCGAATGGCGGTTGTTGTTGTTGTGAGGACCAGCACGCACACGCACATCCTCCCACCCGCACGCAGTCCCCACTCACACACCCTGGGCGCGCGCACACACAGGCCCCTTTCTCCCAACGAGAAGAGGGATTTCCCCAAATGAATGGACAGGGTGGGGGGGGAGTCTTGATAGCTGTGACTCACAGCACGTAATTGCGCAGAGCGATGGTCAGCCAAAGGTTCGAGGAGCCCCCTCGCGTCCCCCCCAGGCCAGCCAGGAGTGGAGGTGGGGGGTTCATCTGGACCAGCAACGTGTTGTTGTTGCACCTTGTGTTGGGGCCAGGCCCTAACAACCGCAAGCGAACGGGCGGGTTGTCATGCCGCTCGCTGTGCTTTCTGCTGCAGCGTGGCGCTGGCGGCGGCTGGGGCCCTGCGTGCGTTAGCACAAAGTACCTGCTTGTGTGTGTGGGGGGGGGGAGCGGTGGCGCAGTGGTTAGTGCACTGCGCCACGAACCCGGCGAGCCGAGTTCGATGCCAGCTCATGACCAGGAACATCCAATAACGGCGGCGGACATTTGAACCGGTCCTGGTCCTGGGCCTCCCCTAGGTCGACTCAGCCTTAAATGAGTACCTGGTGCGCTGTGTAAAAACATCGCCACTGGGGAGACAAAGGCGGCCAGGCGTGGTGTTGGCCACTCTCCCCCTTGTGTGCCGTGTTAACCTTAATAGGTGGTCACTAACAGCACTTTTCCCAACATTCTGTTAAACTCTTTGCCGTTGTGTGTTCAAGAAAATATCTGAACTGCACAGGGACATTTCCTACGTGGACTCAGCCTTGAATGGGTAACTTGTGACGTATTTGAACATCATCACTGAGGAGGCATGCATGCATCGCTCCGGCCACACCACCACAACGTGTTGTGTTGTGCAGGCCCTAACATGTGCTTGTTAACATTTGCCCAAAGAGTCTCAACATTTCAGCTGTCATTGTCGTGTATGTACATGTAATGAGAATTGCTTAAATGGTGGTTCGGACGCAGCATTACGATGCTATGGACCACAGATGAGGCACGCACACAGCACGGTTCGCTACTCAGGGTGCGAAGGAAGTTTGACATTCATACAGTGCCAAGTGATTTGTGGACAGGGCCTCTACCTCGCTGAGAATGCACTCAGCCAAAAATGACCACCTGCTTGCCGTGACATTTCTGGACATTGATGGCTTTTTCATTCGTGTTCTGTGGCCTAAAAATACATATTTCAACTCACCATACACATACAGCAATACGCACTGCACAAAGTTTATTTTGGCCAAAGGATATTAGCAACAAGGCCCGGAGTCTCCTCGGGTTGAGACACGCGCACGCGCGCGCTCCTCCGGTTGCCGTCGATGCGCACGCACGACGCTGGATGCGTGCGCGCGGGACACACATTTTTTCCCCTGTGGCAGATCCCCACGGGGCAGTCGCATTCATCCGAACGCGGCCAACAAACAGCGCGCAACTTTGCCCAATCGCGCAAATATGGAAAGTGAGCACAATGAGCCCACTTTTGAAAGTGACTTCGCGTTGACAAAAATTACTGTGGTCTCTGTAAAAGTGTATGAGTGAGTGTCATTGTGAGTGAGTGTCAATGTGAGTGTGCGTGTAAAAGTGTATGAGTGAGTGTCAATGTGAGTGAGTGTCAATGTGAGTGTGCGTGTGTGTGTAAAAGTGTATGAGTGAGTGCATGTATCAGTGATGTGAGGGTTACTCCACTCAATTCCTAAACTAGTATCACATTTGTTATAATTGGGAACTGATTGTAACCGCGATTCTCCTCGTAAACTGAACCTAATATAAGTACTTAATGTAGTAAATGTTAGCACTGGGGGGAGAAAAAAGCGAGTTAAGGCGATAGTCACACCACCTCCTCATATGCCACACTGGCCTTAATAGGTGCTCACTAACAGTGCTTGCCCCAGCCAGTTTATTAGGCTAAACAAGGGATCTCTGTGTTTGAAGCTGAGCAATAGGTGATCGCTAACAGCACTTACTCTCAACAGTCTTCTCTATGTCTAAGCGTGGGTCTTTGTGTTTGTAAGAGTGCTCTTTGTATGTAACCGTGTGTACGTGTTTGTGCATGTCTGTGTGCGAGTGTGTTCGTGTGTATCTGTGTGCATCTTCGTGCGTGTGTCTGTGTGTATCAGTGTGGATGTGTGTCTGTGTGCGTGTGTATCTTTGTGCGTTTGTGTGCGTGCGTCTGTGTGCGTCTGTGTGCATGTGTGTCTGCATGTGTGTCTGTATGCGTTCGTGTGTGTCTGTGTTAATGTGTCTGTGTGCGTGTGCGTCTATGTGCCAGTGTGTGTGTGTTTGTGTGCGTATTCGTGTGTGTCTGTGTTAATTTGTGTTTGTGTGCGTGTGTGTCTGTGTGCCAGTGTGTGCGTGTGTCTGTGTGTGTGCGTGTGTTTTTGTGCGTCTGTGTTCGTGTGTGCCTGTGTTAATGTGTGTCTGTGTGCGTATGTGTACGTGTGTGTCTGTGTCTTCATACAAAAAGAAAAGCATGCAGACTTTGGCACCTCACAGCAGCACCGGTTGGTGGAGTATAAACATTTATTAATATACGTACTTGTGTTTTTATGAAAGTAATATAAAATAAATGATTTGACTCGCTTCTTTGTTTAAAATGTTGCCCGAAATTTCACGGGGCATTAAAGGAAGCTGTGTGCCTCTGTCAAACGTGGAGAAACCCAACGGAACCCTATCCCACGTCACGTCACTTTTTGGCCGACAGTCGTGACATTCAAGTGTGAGCTCGTGGTTCCGCCCGTCATGCCCGTGGCGCAAAGACGCGACTTCTAAAGCTACGGGAACGTGCTAAGGTCGGCAGCTCGGCACATTAATGCTCCGCTTGTGTCGGGAGCTTTGGCCGCAACGCCACTCGGAATTACGCTGACGTGAGAGGTCATCCCTGGCAGCGACACGGACAGAAATACTCACAGAGGCACTTCAAGAAGCTCCACTTCTTATCCATTCCGAGATTAGTGCTCGTTCATGCTCCGCAAAAAGTGGTTTGCCACGTGTTAGTCATTGGATATTATTATTTATTTCATCCCACAGAGATGGAATAGTACAAAAACATAACTTCTGTGATTTCTTTGGCACAATGCACGTGTAGTCAACGTGCAACACCTGAGCGCTTGGTTAATTCACAGGTGGCCACCCAGATTTAACCCCAGGGTCTCAGTGCTCCCAGCTCAGTGCTTGTGACAAGAGCATGTCGCCCCTGAGAACCCAACCACTGTGACTATGTTGACCCCTGACCTTGACCCCGAACAAACTTATGTGTTACATTGATCATCATCCCTTTCCCATCACTTCTTTGTTCACAGATCAAAGTCACAGTGCCTCCATAAGCACTGAGTAGTGCCATCCTCATTGGTGGTGGAAACTCCACATTCCTATGATGTATGTATGTTGAACTTCATTTGCACCGTACATAGCCTACCGTGCTCATCGGAGGTGCGGGGGAAGCATGCGTCTCTATATTACAACTATTGCCGACTCAAACAAAGTGGTACTTACGTTTTAAATGTGAAGGGTCAATTGAATGTCAATCTTTCGATTGTGAGTCCTTGGCATTGGTGACACGCGGCCAGATAATGTTGCATCAAGCGTGCAATTATTTGTGCAATTATCAATGACATTTCTAAATCACGTCGTGAGAAATAGGTGACAAATGTAATGTGGAACCACAGGTCCTGGCGAAAGGAATACAAATGCACTTGAATGTATATGCTTTGTGCATAAGGCAACGAAGAACTGTTTACCAGAATGGCAACATTAACTCTTCAGGTGCAACCGTGCCAAGCTGAGATTGTTATTAATGCCTTCAGGTAGTCGTCAGTGTGATCTCATTCTGACTCATCTCAGCATTTGCGGTGGTTAAACTGTCATATAATTATCTTCCGTTGTGATCTGCAATATCTCTTCGCCTGTTTTCTCTCCCTAACCAGAGTCCCGTTATGCCGGCACTGTAGAAGCGGTTGTTGCAGTTAATCAAAGACAAACTTGTTGAGTTCATAATGAATGCAAAGTCAACATTTCGGCCTCTCAATTTCATAGCGAAGTCATTGGGGTTTAAGCACCACCCTAAGTTAAGTATCTAACACACAAGTGCAGTATGTATGTTGAACTTCTTTTGCACTCTATGTAGCCAACCATGCTAATTTGAGGTGCGGGGAAGGACAACAAACTGCACACAAAAAGCAAGTCCACAGATCTGAGTTGTTAAGCTAGATGATTTAAAGGTGCATAGCTCCAGTGGCTTCCTAATATCGAAAGGAAGAGCGTTCCAGACGGCCGCAGAAGCGCATCTGAAAGAGTGCGATGCAGTGACCGTCTTTGTTCAATGGCCATCCAGAAGCCATTGCTGCTGCGAGGATGACCGGAGGTCACGTGACGATGATTGATGCTCCTTGAAGAGGTCATAAAAGTATCGCGGCGTAATGAGCGCGACCTTTGAATGTATTCGTTCGGCAACTGGAAGCCAATGCAGTTCGGCAGCACAGGCTCGTAATAATAATTATACACAATTTGAGATCGACTGAAACGAGATTCGGCGGACAAAGTGAAGCTGAAGGTCCCGACGCGAGCGCCTCACCCCTTGACGTAGATGTCGCTCATCCTCTCGCCAGTGATGCTCGTCTCGTCCAGGATGACGTCGCTCGTGTTCCACACGATGCAGCGCAGCAAGTAGCTGCGCGGAGGGAAGTGCGGTCAAGGGTCAGAGGAGGAGTATGGGGGGTCAGGGATATCAGGACAACATTCCGTGAAGGCATCTTTAGAACGTCTCTTTGTGTTTGGTTTCGTGTCCTTCCCTCGCGCCTCCGATTAACACGCTTGGCTATGTACGATACGAATGGAGTTCGACATACATACATTTGTGTTACCTCTACAGTGTATGGGGGCATGACGAGACTCCAAGTTTAATATTCGGCATCTGTTGATTGAAGTAGAATTTGTGGCCATTTCTCTATTCCCTCTCTTTTGTAATCCTCCCTGCTTTTCTCTCCCCGTGTCTGTTCCTGTCTCATCATTGCCCCAATCACAGCAATAGAGAGCCATGAGATTTCAGCGATGGAGAGGTTTGGTCAAATCACAACAAGTAAATACATAAGCAAGAAGGTCAACTACACCATTTTATAAAGAAAAATATGAAGCTTTGAAGAGGGATGGGCAGCTATTACAACGAGCAATGCACTTTAGGAATTGATGTGGCCTGCACCATTACTGGCCACTTGCGCCTTTCCAGTGGTGATACTCTCTATAGTCCGCTGTGCCAGTCTAATAGGTGCCCTTTCACCAACAGACTCTATCGTTATAATGCTTGGTGTATGTGTGTGAATGTAGCCCGCATGCCCAGTCACCGCATGCCCAAGCAGCTTCTGCTTGGCCGCATTGAGGGTGCTAAACGGGCACAACATGGGCTGGAGAAGAGATGAACTGATGCGGTACGGGATGATGTGCTGAGTGGACTTGCTGAAGACTGGTATCAGCGGTGTCAAGATCGGCCTCTGTGAAGGAGGCTCGTGAAAGACGCCCACCAACGATAACTGAGGGCAGAGGAGCGACGCTCACAAGAACGAGCGGAGCGCTGGTCGGCTAAGATGCAGCAAGTTGGCACAGTAGGGGGTAGCGCTGGTCCATTCTACCGGTCATCTCGATCACAGGCGCCTTGGTGACGTCACCGTCACTTCGTGGCGGATGGCAGGCATTGGTATTGGTGTAGGGAGCGGTGATGTAGCGGTTAGCTCTACGCTGCTCTACGAACCTGGTGACCCGAGTTCGATTCCTGCTCACGGCCAACACCGGTGACGATTATCTGAACCGGTCCTGGGCCTCCCCTAGGTTGACTCAGCCTCAAATGAGTACCTGGTGCGGTGTGTAAAAACATCGCCACTGAGGAGACAAAGGCGGTCGGGCGTGGTGCTGGCCACTTACATCCTCGTGTACCGTTCCGGCCTTCATAGGTGTCTTTGTATGTGCCAGCACTTTTAAAGATGCTCGCTAACAGCACTTGCCCAGACAGTCTGTGACATACTGTATGGGGGATCTTTGTCTTTTGTGTGGATGCGTCCTTCCTCCACATCGGCCGATCTTGCCACCGCTGGTACCAGTCATCAAGTCCGTTCAACTCCAAATCCTCTCATACCACATCAACCCATCTGTTCTCTAGCCAATGCGATGCCAGTTTAGCCCCCTATATATATAGATATATCCAGCCAAACAGAAGATGCCTTGACATGCAGTGCTGTGGCATGCAGGCTACATGACCCAGGCAGTGGGAGCTAATCACTGTACCACGACAAAGGAGGGCGGATGCGAGATGCTCACAACAACGAGCACAGCAAAGTGGCGCAGTGGGGTATCTCCCAGCAATCTCAGTGGGTCAACCCATGAAGAAGTGGGTCCGTTTTGTGACCGGCCAGTGAGCTTCCCACACTTTCACGTGGCCTCAAAGTGCACCTGTCCTGGTATAAGCGCTGTGGTAATGTCGCCGTCACTTCGTGGCAAAGACGACTGTTGTTGTTGTTGTTGTCGTGTAGGTAATGTGTGTTGTTCTTACAGGCAAGTTTGTGTTTTGTGTGTGTTGGATGTGCGCCAGATCTCACTTCTTGGCCTTGCGGGGTGTGATGTCAAATGGTGGAGGTGGGGGGCCCTGCTCCTTAGGGAAGATGTCCACCCACATCTGAAGCCGGCCCTGTGTGGAGCGGGGGGGGGGGGGGTAGAATTGTCATAGAAAGCAAGTCACCTCCATCATCATTAGCCATGTTCACTGCTGGACGAAGGCCTAATCAAGGTGTCACCAACTCTCGTGGCTCTGCGATCCAACAATCCACCTATCACGTGCACACGATCCGATCTCATCGTTCCATCTCGTCAGTTGATGTACTCTTGGACGCATTCCGATCTCTCCAAGGAATAACAGAAAGAAAATCTGCAATGGAGCGAATCGCATTCAGAGAGGAAACGTCGCCTTGCTCAAGTGAGCACGTGTCGCTGTTGGTGGCCCTGAAGCAACCAGCGGGAAATTACACATTCCGATGATCATTGCCACTCTTTTGCCCGGATAACCGCCCTTGAGTTCCACTGACCTAGAGGTGTTACGGGGTGGGGTGGCCCCGACGAGAATGTCAATCTCGCACACCTCTAATTGTGAGCCGAGTGCTGTGAGCACAGTGAGTGGTGGCGGCAGCAGCACCGCCTGGCGGGAGGGTGAATTACAAAGGGGGCGCGAGATATCAGAGAGGAGCAGGAAGGGAACGAGGGAGAGGCGACCGACACGACACAGAAACACGCCGCAGCAATGAACCTTCAAGTCACGCCGACCCAATGGATTTTAGAATTACCGCTGGGTCACTGTTCATTGTGACTTTTGGGTTGTTTCGCTGAATCAATGAGTTATGAATCGTAAAATGCATTTTCTCTGTGCACAAATGCGAACAGATGAATAATAAAAACTGGTTAAATACACTTGTAAACCCCATATAAAAGAAGATACGACATATCATGGCCTCTAAATAAAGGCGTTCATTCATTCATACGCTTGTGGTGGCTGTGTGCACAGCGAGAGGTGAATTAAAGGGAAACATATTCGTGTTAATGGTGCACATCGTGGAAGAAAAAAAATCGAAGCCAAAAGTGTTTTCACATACGGAAACAATGGACATTTCTTTTAATGAAATATTATTGCTGTAAAAGTGATATTATTAAATAAATACATGGCCAACATCATTACAAAGTGAATGCTGAACATTTCGCCATTATGTTTTCTCAATAAATAAATGAATTTGATTGCATTTTTTTTCTTCTCCTCTCTATTCGAATGCTCTTTGATGAATGAGCTTTTACTACAATGCAACACTCTGTGCAGCTGTGGGCTTGTGCCGAAAGGCCTGCCAAGCGGCGGGAATGGGCAGAACCATCACACCCTTTCCTCTCGGGAGCATTTCATTTCATTTCTACAGAAGCCATCCAGAGGCCAGGCCTCCCCCCACAATGTTTGTGTGTGTGTGTGTCTACCTCTTCAGGGGAGTGGTAGCGTACCGCGCTATGATCCTGGTGATCCAAATTATACGACTGTCCATGGCGAGGATTCGCTGGAGGTCAACTCGGTACGAAGTAAGTGGGCCAAGTGTCAACAAAGACGAGGATGAGAACATAAGAATCGGTTTTACCCTTTCTGGCAATAGAAGAGGAAGTGTAAATAATCATGTCTGCATTAACCTCACGTACCTGTGGTGAACATGCAAACAAACATGCTCTGATTATAATATATCCATTGTATTTATTTTATTGGCCTACACCAGAGACAGCCTTCTTTAGGGCCTAGTCTCACCCGTGCCAGACCAGAGAACGGCAAAAGGCGAGAATGGCCACTGATGAGGTGCAGGAGGAAAGAGCGTCTGCAGGTGTGACACGGGAAGAGCCCTGAGTGATGGCACAATGCCGTGACGAGTGGAGGCACTGGCTTGCCCGACGTGTTCTAAATAATCAATGTCTAAGCGTTGTCATCGTGAGCGCTGGGGTGGCACAAGGTTTGTATTTCGCATTTTTCCAGGCTAAATAAAGATTTTTTATTCTGTATGGTGATCGTTGCCGCATGCTATTGTGTGTGGTAAATGCCCTCAGTAGGTGCTGGGTGACTCAAGTCTCTAAGGCCAATTGTGGAGTGTTTTGTTATTGATTTGGTCAGTTCTCTGGCCGCTGTTCCTCTTGTGGACATGAATTTTGTCCATGGATATATTTATTTAGTCAGTGTTTTGTTTCAGACCCTCTCTGTTTATACGTTTGGCCCACGTTAATTAACCTCATCATTCAACTCTGCCCACTGCTGCACATCAAATTATGGCTCCATAGGCTGCAGGCTGGAGTGAACTCGGAAACAATGGCCAGATAGGATTAGGTGTAATAGTTAGGATTAAATATGGAGTTGGGAATTTATGTAAAAGGTTACTTTTAGCTAAGGATGTTTATTATTATTTATGCCAATGTTAGGGTACGTCTAAGTTAAATGTTAAGCGTCAGTTAATTTCACACATGTATAGCGAGAGTGATGCACTCGGTGTAGTTATAGATGGTGTCAAGATAGGCAATGATGCTGCCAAGCAATTGCTTCCTCACGCCACTGCTGGTCGAACAGCTACAACAATATTCACGTGTCTGCTCCATGAACCCGTTTTATGTCAGTGTCACTGTGGATGTCGGCGAAGACGGATGTAGCGTGTGGTGCTGTGTGTGCGTGTGTGTGCGTGTGGGGTGACGGAGGGGTTGCAGTTTGCACACTGCACTGCGATTTCAGTAAACTGGATTCATTTCTTGGCCGTGGGATATTAACTTGCCCCAGTGTCTCATGGGTTCCATGGATTGACTCAACCTAAAATTGGTTCCCGGTGGTGTGTACGTAACATCGACGATGGACGGGAAGACAAAGGTGGCGAGGCGTGGTCCTACCATATTTCCCGTATGCGGTTTGATTGTTAGGCAAAACGGGGGAACATTGTCATTGTGCGAGTGTGCAAATGCCCATGTGTGTGTGTGTGTGGTGTCCATGCCTGTGCACACACGTAAGCAAGTGCTTAAGAGATTCCTCAGCGTGTGCGCACATATGCGAATAAGTCCGCGTCTGTGTGTCTAGAGAGGCCAGCAACTTGGCAATGACTTCCCAGAAAGAGCTCCGGCGGTCTCCAACCCGTGCCCTTTCCACAACCCTGCGCCACTTCACGCTTTATCACGGCCGGGTGGGCGGCTGGGTCGGGGCTGGGCGGCTACGAGACGCGCGTGGGTGCCCATGAGCACATCTGGGCAGCAGATGCCGGTCGTGACGCCTGCACATGGGTCCCACGCGCTCCACGCGTCGACGTTAAAATTAGGACACCCGGTCCAGCCCCGCCTTGTCTCCCACCCCGCCTTGTCTCCCACCCCGCCTTGTCTCCCACCCCGCCTTGTCTCCCACCCCGCCTTGTCTCCCACCCCGCCTTGTCTCCCACCCCGTCCCACGCGCCGCCCCTCCGTGTCACCACCGCGGCCCAGCCCACCGGCACTTGTCCCCACACTTCCATAATACCCCTGCCAATTCATCGCTCACCGGTAGCGCACGGTTATACCCACAACAACAACAACAATACTTGCTCTACCCCCACCGCCCTCTGTTTTGATTCGTTTCCATGGCAGCAATTTAATCGCAAAAATCTACGAGGGAAAAAGCTTCCGTTTTCACGGCCCAATGGGTCGCAGCGCAGAGTTAAATTACCCAGTATTTGGTAGACTTGGGACCGCTCATAAAATTTGAGTGATTTTCATGTTTCCTTCCATGTTTAGGCACGGGACTTTAAGTTGGCGATGCTGAGACTTTAATTAGTCCTGTGAGGAGCCAAGGGCGGGGACAAGGGTGGGACTGCGACAGACAGAGGCCAAGGTCACTCAGACAAAGGTCAATAATGAACGGTGCGAAAGACGTTGCAAACTCCATTGCAGACTGTGCGTTATAACGCGAGTGCCTCAGTGTCTCTTTAGTCGGCCAAGAGTTGCACAGGAGGCCTGTTATAACATCTTAATACGATCTCACCTGGTTTAACAAATGACACTGATTGAGATTAATTATTAAAGACTTCTAAATTATCCTCAAAAGTGCTTAACACTCGAGACCTGGGTCTCTGAAAGAGACATCACGTGGCCTGCTAAGAAAAGAAAGTGGGCTTGGACAAAATACACTTCTTCAGATGGAATGACGGCAGATGGAGCTCTGTGTCAGAATGACGGTCAAAGTGTGCAACGCACCCGAGGGGATGCCGACTCCCGACGGTGACGAGCTAGGCTCAGTGCGAGGACTGTGGTCATCGTAGTAGTACTGCGAGGGACGGCGATGGTTCGGGGGGGCCTTTGTGCAGCAGAGCGAAGATAATATTCACCGCCACGAATGGGTTTCTAGAGACCTTTGACCAACATAGAGGATGGACCAAAGAGAGAAGCGAAGCTTGGAGTTGGAGACACTTTGTTATTTACTAAATGGACAGCGTTTCATCGCATCTGCGAAGAATAAGGATTGGGTTATTGCTAGCACATGGACGGCTGCTGCGTGTCTCTTTGGGAGTTTAACAATGTGATTGGCTGAAACAAAGTGCTTGCCTACTTTGTGTGAGTTATAGTCAGTCCGTGTGCTGCTTGCAGATTGCCAAGATTTTTGAATGGTTCTCCACCTTTGATTGAATACTTAATACTATCGTAAGAAAGTATTGGCAATGTAAAACTACTATCTATCTGAAAGCGGGTTCTCCTTAGATGCAAGTTCGTGGTTTCTGTTCGGTCACAAGTAAAGCCACAGAAAAATTACTCTGAGATTTAACAATCTATTTTGACTATCGTGCAACAAACACAGTACCACAGCAGAGCGTGTGGGAAAATGTGTCCCCTGTTGTGTGAAGATTCAAAGGCCACTTAAAGGTTTTTTTCAGAAGTTCTGTGAAAATCCCTTGCATGGACATTCATTGGACAGACACTGTTGCCGCTGCTCTACGTAGAGAGTTCGGAGTCAACGTCGTTGTGAAAACGGCCCAAATACGTAAACACATAAACAACAACAGCGGGTGTGGTCAACTAAAGTACACTTTGAGGCAATGTGTGACGGGGTAGGGTCGGTGAAAGGTGCGCAGGGACAGTCCCAGGTGTCACGGGTTGAGAACTAAGCTATTGCTGCGTGTACATATGTCGGGCTTCTTTCACGCCGTACATAGTCCACGTGCTAATCGGAGGTGCGACATGCCACAACAGGGCACTGTGCTTGAGAAGGTGCCATCGATTAAAGGAGGGATCAAGGTCCTGTCTTCCTATGGTAATTAAAAATAAATCATGGAAATGTATGAACAACAAAGAGAGTATCCAAGTATTTCAGTTCAAATCTCAATCGGTTTCAGTGAAATTCCAAGTCTCACCAAATTGCCCCTACCTGGTGAATTCCCAAACAGACTGAAATATTCCACCAGAGAGTTGCACATGGACGTACACCCCAGACACATGCCTCTCGCTCGGGGGGATCTCTCCCTCCGCCGATCTTTAAAATCATCAGAATGAAATGTGATGCACGGACCCCGAGTCTGCATTCACACACGGTGACGCATCCGAGTGCTCGCACATGTGAGAAGACATGCGTGTTCGTTGCACGCGCGTGCACGGAAGCGCAGGCACACGTTCAGACGAGCGTGTGGATGCTTGCGCGTGCTCACAGAAATGAACTGAACAACTCTGCACGATTAGCGTGAGATCGTTGAGGCAAGTGCAAAGTGCAAGCGAGTGTCCATTCTAGTCTGGATGACAGACGACAAGGTTCTGGCACCAGCACCCACAAGCTGGTTCCTTTTGGTCTCACCAAATGCTGATGCCAACTTACAACACAAGGTGTTCATTTCATGGGCTGAGTCAACAGAGCGATGGCCCAGCCAAAATTCAGATACCAATTACTTTACAATGCTTTCCATGGCATTGAAATCAAAGACAAATAACTGGAGCCTTTATCAGAGGATGCTAACCGGTATGCTACATATCTCCACACGTGACTATTCAAATGTGTAAGAAAGAGCACAACAACTATCCCGATAGACTGTTGAGGTACGTGCTGTTAGTGAGCAGCTATTAAGCATGGCACACGCGGTGGTGGTGTGGCTAACACCACGTCCACCTTTGTCTCCCTAGCGGCGATGTTTACACATCGAATAAGATACTCATTTGAGGCTGAGTCACCCTATGGGAGGCCCAGAAACAATTCAGATAATTGTCACCAGTGTTGGTGGTCATAGGCGGTAATCAAACTCGGGATGCCGGGTTCGTCATGCAGCACGCTAACCGCCACACTACCGCTCCCAACGCACACAAATACAGACACGTACCCCCACATATGCGCACGTGTGTGTACTCGTTCAAGTACATTTTGTCGATTTACCATGAAGCTGGTGGCAGCAGTGTGAGCCGCGGAAGGTTTGTGCGAGCATGCCGTTCTGTCGTATACGATCGCTGCGAGACAGCGCCTGCCATCCCATAGGATGCCCCTCTGTAGCAATTGAGAAACTGATTTCATACGGAAGACACACAGTGTTCATCTTCAGTGCAAAATACCTCTGCTTACACGCAAAGTGAGCGCAACTGACTCATCCGACACTGACGGGCGCTCACGAGTTCCCGGCTGGGAGCATGAGAACTGTGGCGCGATTCGTTCCAGTTAGAGGGAAATGATGTGGAGACATTTCTGGATCTCACATCTGGATATGAGAGGAAAGGAAGGCGGGGTCCTTGACCACACAAAGCCGTGGAAATATGCAGCCAACTTGAAATAGTGTTCCGGAAAATTACGTTTCAAGCCGGATGTGATCACACAAGGGAAAGATTGTGGCGCCGTGCGTTGAAAATATATATATAAAGCCGCTAATTTTTATGGCGCTTACAGATTACAGACAACCATTTGGCACATCTATCGCATGGCATGCCATTTTTCAAGTTGAAATGACAATAACACTAATCTTGAGGTTAGGGATAGGACATTGCAATAAAATCCAGTATTTTCATTGGTAGGTAACTTAAATAGAGCTCAATAACACATTCCTGCGGAGGGAGCTGGTAGGAACGTTGGGTTGCTCGGTCAATGGCCAGGGTCAACGGCGGCGTGGTGTATTCCGCAAATATGGCAGACTGTGAGGGCGGGCACAAGCCGGCGTGAGTAGGTTAAACGTTGAGTTTTATAAGGGCCCCACGGAGTGACCAGCCCCTCCCCACCCTGCCCCACCCCTCCCACCCCCCACCCAGCCCCTCCCCACCCTCCCCACCCAGCCCCTCCCCATCCTCCCCTCCCCACCCAGCCCCACCCTCCCCACCCAGCCCCTTGACACGCTCCCCTCCCCACCCAGCCCCTCCTTCCCCACCCAGCCCCTCCCTGCACGACGGACACAATAATTCCCTGTGGGCTGGTGTAACCAGGAGGTTCCTACCAGTAAAATGGTTACTTAAAGAATCTTAATTGAAAAAAGATTGGGGGATCATTTAAAAGACACACACATTTCTACGTTCTAAACTTACAGCACATTCCCAGAAAATTAGAAAATGTGCCAGTATAGCAATCACATGAAACATATCAAGTGTCTGCAGATTGTGTCATCTGTATGCATTTTCGCCGAATATCTGGAATAAAACTTCTCTGTGTACCCCTCGACCTGGCGGCTCGAGCTGCTTCAGTATTGCTGGAGAAAGCCGCTGCTGTGGTCCAAAGCATGCTGAAGTTGCCACTGTGGTGAGATGTTAACTACCTCGCCTGGTATACAGGATGTTGTGGGTTTGATCCCGACCCTGACACCGGTATATTAGGAGTTTACATGTACTCCACATGGTTGCGTGGATTTTTCTCCAGGTCCTCTGCTTTGTCCCTCTACATTTCGAATCAACGTGGTTTCGGAGTATTTGGCTGGCAATGTAGTATCTTGTACTAAAGATGAATTGTCAAAGTTATGAACAGAAGGTGTGTATCTGATTGTTTATGGGGCAAATGGTATATTGGACAGACGGGACGTAACATTAGTGTAAGACTAAAAGAACACCAAAGAAATATTAAATACTCACAAACATAACTGTTGGCAGTTGCAGAATATGCCTGCCAACAAGGACACTCAATTGATTTTCATAACGTTGAAGTGTTGTGTAAAACAATTATTACTGGCCGAGACTAATTCGAGAATCTATTGAAATCGAGAGAAATACATATAATTTTAACTGCTCTGACAGCTACAGGCTTAGTGCGGCCTGGAAGTGTATTATGAAGTAATACACCTTACAACTGTATTCCTTATAAAGGAAACACATGCTAAATAACTCTGCTTCATAATCTATTGTTATACAATTACAATAAACACCCCCCTCCTCGCCCTCTGATCTCTACACCTGATTGGTTCGCAGTGATGACGTCATCTTGTTCTATTTAAGACCGGAAGCAGGTGGATTGCTTCACTATTCTGGCAAATCGCCCGATGATGCTGGATGTAATAACCAGCGAAACGTCACGGTGCTACTCAAATTGTAAATGTTGTGGATTTACTCTCCAACACACCAGTGAGCTGAAATAGTAACTAATTAGTGCGTTGTTTACATGACAAACCTTACTGGCTGTGTCGCGTGGTGGAGGGTTACGACACATTTATATGAGAATAGGTTTTCCCCTTTTTACTGGCAACAAAACAGGTGTTAAGATGTTAAAACACCAAACTGAAACCTTTTACAAGGAATCATGTCTGCCTTAACCACAATACTTGTGGTCAGAATGCAAACAAAAAACATACTCTGATAGTATGATGCATTGTCTTTGAAACTAATTGGTCCACACCAGAGACAGCTTTCTTTTGAGCCTCGTCTCAACGGTGTTAGACCAGAGGACGCCAAAAGGCACATTTATATGTACGCGATCTAACCCAAAAACCTTTATTATGAGTATTTGGCTGCTATAGATTTCCATATGTTAAGCCACTTCGTTGAGCTGTAATTTGTGATAGCCAGATCGTTTCTGAAATAGAGATATATAGCTCAGTGGGCCTTACATGGTAAAATAAAAAAATAGTTTAGTTTTATTTAAGTTTTTCTTTACTCCCTATCTTTACTCGGACAGGAAATGGGTACGCTGTTGACGAGTCCTTTGATCACAAGTAGAAGGTTCCCAGTATAAATTCCTGGTCAGGGGGGTGATTAAAATGAGTACCGCTTTGTGGAAAATCAACAGCGGACACGCGACGCAGAGACCCGGCCTCTGCGATGGGAAGGTGGAATTCCCGACGCTGGCTCACAGTCGCCGGGAGAGAAGAGCGTCACTTCAGCACTTCACCTCAGCACGGTGACCAACTGAAATGTTGTTTAAATCTAAAAATATATATAAATGATGGCAATGCATGGTCGTCATCACGGGGAGGCATGGAGTTAATTGTCCCCGCTGTGAGAATTCAAACGGTGTGCCCCGTCATTCTGAGTGTTTAAGAACCGAAGGGCTCAGTGGACCTGGGGGAAAAAAATGGGAAATTAAGAAATTATTACATCTGCAATTATCGCTAGAGACATGACGAGCGATTAAGGGGATATTAAAGTTACGTTAAGTGGCTAAATAATATCTTCTTAGTGTGTCAGGACAAGTGTTGCTAATGAGCACCAATTAAGGCCAATATTCAATAGATGGTGGTGTTGCCAAAACCATTCTTGGTGTCTCTTCATTGCTAACAGTGACACATCATACAAACTACATACTATACACTCACCGCATGAGTATGCTTATAGGAGGCCCAATGTGTGTTGTGTAAATTAAACCCTTGTTTTGTGCAAGGCTAGTAATTGCAGTTGAGTGTGAAACCCAGTAGACCGCTGTTCTCTACACATACAGCACACACAAAATAAAACATATACCATATTTCATACACACACACATACACACGCATACACACACACGCATACACACACACATACACACACGCACACACACGCACACATGCGTTCCAGCATACCTCTAATTCCCACCCACCTGCTCGATCCCGGGCTGGACATGGTTGTAGAGCGGCCGGGTCTCCACGTGCTCGGGCACAAGGCACTGCTGCCGGAGAGCGTACAGGGCCAGCCGCTCGTTTTCTGGACCCAGGGCTGGAGGCAGGGTGCGATCGCTCTCTGTGCGTGCAGACACGGACACAAGAGATCCTGCGCTGAGCCCGCGGGCACCGTCAGCCAGCCCAGGGCACGAGCCGGGCCCACACCACGACAAAGGGGCCGCTGGTGGCACGCGAGACAGCACGCCCGGGCTGCCCTCATGCCCACAGCTACTCGCCGTGATTGATGCTGACACACCGCGTGATTATATCCAGGCCTGAGTCCACCGAGGTGAAGTCGGCATCGGTGTGAGGTACTCATTTCAAGTGATGTGCAGTACATAGATGGAAATTCGAACCTGGATTACCGGGAATGTCGTAGTGTGCCAATCACCACACCACCTTTCCTCACATACAATGACCAACAAAGACAAATATCCCCCAAATAGTGTTGTTAGCGAGCAGCTATTAAGGGCAGAACGGTGCACGAGGGGGTGGGTGGCCATCACCACACCCAGGCCTGCCTTTACATGCAATGACACACACACGTACACACAACAACACACACACGTACACACAACACACACACGTACACACAACACACACAACAAACGCACTGAAGCACGTGATACATGTCTACATAGACACATACAGAGGAGCATAGGTACCCATCATATTCTTCATGCTCAGTATTCTCCAGCCATTGTCCATGTGACGATAATTGCTGCACTCTTTATAGGTGTGACACTTGTTCAATTGATGCTGAGCCAATACCAAGGTGAATGATCTGCAATGTATACCACTACAATCACAGCATCGTTACCAGGTGTATGCTCGGAGCAGCCATGAGCAAGCCGTAGTCGATCATACACACGCAACTAAACTGTAACAGGCGACTCAAGACTTGCTGCTGCTATGATTCAAGGTTTCAGTGTTTCACAATGAAAATACCATACTTATACTGGACAGCGAGTGAAGCAAAGCACCATTCTAGCACGCCTATTAAGGCTGGCACGCCACAGGTGTTGGGTTAGGGTAGGCCATGACCAGATCAGTGCCAATGTTCGAACGCCTTAATAAATAATGCCTTTCATAATGCGTCTATTTTAAGGAAGGGATCATGTCAGTAAATCAATTACCGCAATAAAAAGGAGTAGTCTGTGCGATTGGCCAACGCTTCTTGTCAATATATTTGTACAGCCTTTAAAATAAAAGGCCACTTTCTAAGGATCCATTGGCTTGCAACCTTATTAAAGGTTTTCTTTTGTTGAGGCTGCTTTTGCAGACCAAAATTAATGTGCTTGCGAGCGACATGACTAACTGACCTGCAGCGTCAAGCCAGGCTCTTTCCGGGCCCAATTCACATGTCTGCCCTGCTGTCTGGTTCATGAAAATAAATGGTGCATTCAGCTTAATGTAAGCAATTCAACCCTACACTGAGCTAAATAAATAATTGAGGAGAAATACATCATCCAATTATCTTTGCTTCGCTATGAAGACAAAATGCGTGGAAACAATTAAAACGCGGAGAGCTCTCCGCACGCTTTGATATGATATGCTTGCATCGTTGCATGTACCTTACTAAACTGACAACTACAGATCAGCCAAAACGAAAGTCCCCGTTTCGTATTGGCGGATGTGGAGACGTTTTGGCTGTCATGTTGAATCGACAATGACTGGCCTGGAGGAGGAAAGAGCCAAGTGGTCGAAGCAAATATCTGCGGTGGCAGCGCAGTCAGCGTCTCGTACACCTCGCGATGCTGTCTAACGCGTCCCTTGTTCATGTACACACATCTCACCCACCGCCTTCCCCATTCCAAGAGGCTCACAATCGGCATAAATAGACGCGCGGCTTAACACATTCAGGCAAGGCCCATTCTCCAGAAGAGAAAGAGGGCAGACGTTGGCTGGTTATAATTGAAGATTACACTTTGCGATGTGGCGCCTTCAAAACGTTGATATTCGCAAGAAGAAAAAAAACATTGACGAAAGCAGTTTTAGATTGACACAGGGGCAGCTTCGCCTCGTGTGCCTGAAGTCCCATGCCACGAGACTAACGTTTCTGGCCACAAGTGGCTCGGTTCACATGTAGCCTCTGAGAAAAGTCTGTAATTTTGTTCTCCATTTTGAACACAGCTAGCCCCAGGAAAGAAATGGAAAAGGCTTCGATTTCAACTGACAACCGGATGAAGTCTCATTCCGTGCTCCTAATGTTTAAATGCACTGCTGGAAATGTTCCAACATTATCCGTGATGCTTGCTTGAATATCACTTCTGGGATATGAGCAGAGCTGGTAGAGCAGCTGCACTTACAATCATGAGCTTGTGAGTTCAAACGATGGCCAGGGTTGGACGCAGCCTCCGATGAGCAAAATAAAGAAATGTAACACACATACGTGCAGCCACGCCATTGTTACGAGGTCGATAAAATGACTGCGTCTTGGGGAGATGGCGCCACTCTGCAGGGGACATCAACGGCCCTCTCAGGGCAAACATGAAAAAGATATTCACCGCTGTTCAAAGACATCAATGGAAGTGGCCTCGAACTGATGATGCTTGTTAGGGGCACATGATATGGGGCTTACAACCTAAGGCTGCAGTCGGTTCGTATAACGTTTATCCAGTCACATTTCTTTTGACAATGTGGCCCGCATTCGTTTAACATTATACACCGAGGAATATTAAGTTGTGTCTGGGCATGCGATGGACACAATTTTGTTCATTATCGTCAAGGCCCCACAGGTTGCAACGGTGCTTGCCGTCCCTCCTTGCAATACATAAATAGCAAAAACGTCGTCGAACACAATGTGGGCTACGCCGGAAGTGTGCAAGTGGTACGTGTCGCCATGCTAGAGGGCAACATTCGTATAAATCAGTGGCTTGTGCCAACGTGGTGGTCCCTGATGAAATGACAACTTCCCAGTGCGTGAACCTCGTGGCGTTGCACGGGATCGCGAGTGTCAACTGGCGCCCCCTGCTGCGTGCTCAGGGCGCGGTGTGGGCCAACTTGCTCTACCCTGCAACTTGGGATTTTACGTTGTTTTTGCATCAAAATAGCAGCGTTGTACAAAATCGACAGTCTAAATTGCACATTCCCCATATCTACTCTAAATGGATGATGGGTTGAATCAACCCCCCAACGAAGATCGGAGCCACTCGCTCTTCCCCTGAGTCGCCAGGCCGTGAGCGGTTAGAGGATTACAAATCGACGTTTTCACTTTCAAGATAACCACAGAGAACTTTCCAAGTCTAATGTGAATACATTGCACTGTAGTGTCATTAGTATTGAATGTGACATGGCAGCCCAGTGCAGTACGAAGAATGGCAATGGGCATACGTGGGAGTTGTGCCAAGGTGCGCTATACCCAGCCATCTTTGTCTTCCCAGCGATTACGCTTAGATACACTTCACCAGGTGCATATTTTATTCATAAGGTGACCTACAGGATCTCCATGCTGGGTTAAAAAAACGAAACAATTGGCACCATCTCATTGGGATTGTAGCGCAGCGAACTCAACAACTGCATCACCCCATTTCCAGCGCACGGACGTGAACACGCGCTCCGGGTACAGCTATCACGTGCGCTGTACGCCATGCACACACGGTCCACAAAGACTACTCACATTGCAACGTATAGACATGCATGGTGGTCCCAATAACACTGGTGGGCATTTATTCAAGAATGCATTGCTCAAATAGGCTATTTAATCTATAGCAGAGTGGAATTATGTTAATTTGTTACTTTAAAAAAGTCCCCACCTATTTTAATTCAGGGTCAATCCACCTTTCTCAAATGAGTGCTGGGTGGTAGAAATTGTATAACAGGCGACGTTTCAGGCAATGGCCCTCTTTATAGCACATTCATCATATTACAGTCCTTGTTTTTCATTGTAAGGCCACGGTCATGTTGACGATTGTGTTGAGTTTGTGTTGTTCATTGTGCTTGTGCACCACTGCCAATCATCACCAATTAACTTGTTCAATTTGAAATGTACTTTTGTTTATTTTACTTTAGATATATCATCCTTGAGGGTGAACATTCATGAGAAAAAGGTGTAATTTGCATATTCAGTTTGTAAAAGGCCAGTTGCTGCATAACAAACTTGTGCTCTAGAGTCTACCCAGGCGAGGGTTAGCCACTCCATCTCTCTCGCCTCAATCTATATGCTATCAAAGAAGGTCCAATGCCAGAAACGGCAGCTACTACAGTTTCTCTTTGAAAGCAGCGTTATTGACGAATGTGCCGAGTTTTGTTTGGATACAGTGTGGCGTAATTGGTATTCAAAGCACCCTAAGTGTCGCCGAGTAGATATAGAGATAAATTTCGATTTAAAGCTTTCGTGACTGCAGGGATTCATCTTCTTGGTTCTTTCGGTAAAGTCACGTACTTCTACGTGACTTTACCGAAAGAACCAAAGAACCAAAGATACCGAGATATTCGACCTTGAGATTGTCCGAGGGACGTGTCGGGCAAGTCACAAGTTGTGGAGCAAGAAGGCCTCTGACGCACCTCCCTGTTGCCTGTGAGTGATCTACTCTCGCATGCACTTCAGTTTTCTGCTTGTTATTTAGCGTACTAAAAAAAACACTTCTCCTTAACTCCCCGAGTAGGATTTTCAAGGAGACTTTCAAAATGTTCTCGTAAATTACAGGGTGCTTAAAACAAATGTCAACACTTATATGGGACTATCGTTTTTAATGGAAAAAGAGCGGATAATACTACACTGTAACATGATAACAAATGTAATGGTAATAGCTTTGAAAAAGCCAAAGAGTCTGCGCTTGTTTGCCATCATTGTCAATACGTGCCTGGAATCTTCTCCAGGTGGTCTCCAGCGTCCGGAGGCACATTTATTGTGGTCTTGTTGCAAATTCTCGGAAGTGTCAACATTTTTTTGAAGCACCTTGTACATTAAAACGATACGTTATTGCAGGTGCGTAGAGAAATAAGTCTCGGTTCAAAATGCAGAGGATCTGCGAGGAACGAAGGGAACCGACTTGTGCCGAAATTGAAGACCCTTTTTGGTGAAGACCAGCTGGGACCTGTTCTTCACCAACAAATAACCCTTTAGGACATATCCAG